TTCCCGGTCAGGGCACAGGCCCGGGATGTGGGCTCGATCCCCAGCAGGGGGCGTGCAAGAGGCGGCCGATCAATGACTCCCATCACTGAGGCTTCTGTCTCTCCCTCTCTCTCTGAAATCACTAAAGATATATTTTTTTAAAAAACAACACCCTTTCATACCCTGAAAGGTACTTCCTTCCACTTAAGCAGGGCGATGAAGCTTTGTGAGATTAATCAGAGCCGACAGGCACAGAGGAGCAGAATGAACCACTCCCACAACAGACAATAGTTCACAAATGGAGAAGTGAAACTAACCTTGAAGTTTACTGTAAAAGGTCTGTATCTGGTCTCATACAGAGTTAAAAAAGCTTTAAGTGTCAAGTCGTTTAAATATGGTCTGAAATCAATAAGGAAGTCGTTTTCCAAGTCCTTGGCAGCTGTTTTTCTTCAGAGATGCCCAACAACCTGGTGAGGTTCAAAGGATCAGAGCCAACCTTGGAGAGTGTGCAGCAGGCCAGGCATTGGCTATGTGGCTGCAGACGCTGTCTCATTACTCCTTAAAATAGTCATGCCCATTTTAAGATGGGGAAACTGAGGTATAGAGGTGCAGTAAATTCACCCACAAAAAATCTGACTCTGGAGCTCATGTTCTTAAGCACTCTGCTATATATGACACTTTAATATGTGAAAAAAAAAAAAAACAGGCAATGTCACGGAGTTAGTAGCACGCGCGCACACACATATATCCTTTACCCCCATTAAGTGATGAAACGTAAACACATACGCACCTCTACTAATCCTTGGATAGGCAGGCAAGAGTGGCTGAGTGATTTTTTTTTTACCCTGATAATGGAAAACTGAGCTAGTAAAATGATATTTGCTAATAATGTCAAACAATCCATACAGATGCAATACCCTACAACTGGTTAGAAATTTTACAAAATCAACTTCCCTTTCCTGAATAGTGTAGTCAGTATGTGCTCAGGAACTTGGGACATAAATTTATAAGGGAGATAATCTATTTAAAATGCCAACCCCACCCTCAAATGATCTTGACACATTTTGGAATATTGCTCTCTAATTAATGAGTAGGACTTTTATATCAGACTCAGGATCAAATGCCAGTGCTCCTACCTAACACAAGAAAAAACCTCTGAGCTTCGGTTTCCCCAGCTATAAAAAGGGGTGATACCACCTCCACTGGGCTGCTGTGAAGCTATGGATGGGATATACAGTAAGCACTCAACGGACAGTTCTCTTCTCTCACCTGCTCTCCGTACAAGGCCATCCTTTATTAAAAATAAGTCCTTAATGCAGGCTTGGCAAAGTGGAGTAAACAAAACAGGAGAGGTCTTGATTAATAAGAATAAATCATTTCACAAATAATAACAAAGCTAGCAAAAAATAGGTCAAGAAACCAGGAGAAACTAATTCCATCCCACATGAGGGGATACAATAGGGTTACACTTTTTAAAACTGGGTAACTCATTTATATGAATAGTCCCACAATCAAAATGTCCTTTCACCAGGAGACATTAGTATTAATTTCCACAAGGGATCTAAGATCATCTCTTCCCCCAAAGAACAACAAATCACAGGGGCCCCCGATCCCTATCACCACACCCTCACCACCTCACTTGATTAAGTAAAAAGCTTACCAAATGCCACCCATAGTTCACCTACGAAATGAGTCTTCTCTCCAGCTGGGACTGCTTAGTTCAAAAGGCAGGTAACAACACTGCCATTGGCATAACTCGGAGAGGCCCGACACTGACGCCAGAAGTGGTTTTAGAACCAACGCAGTGACAAAAGAGCAAAGTGAGAGCTAAAATAAGCAGAGCTGCATTCAAGAAATTCCTCAAACCCCTTTTATCAAAGTGGTCATACTTTTTTGTTTACATAGCACCTGAAAGTTTACAAAGCTTTCATTTGGGAATACCTGAGATAAAATTGAGGCGTAGAGAAGGCAAGTGACTTTCCCAGGGAAGCAAAGTTGCATATTCTCTTACCTGTCCCTTTCCAGGGGTTGGCAAGAGCCGCCCTCTCCTGCTGGTTTACCTGGTAGAACAGGTAATCCCTTCAGGCCCAAGTGACTCTCCATCTACTTGGCAAAACCACCAAGGATGTGTAATGACCATCTTTATGTTTCCAGATTTAGTGCTGATTCCATATTACAAAGGAAAATGTTTAGTGGTCTGGAAGCATAGGACACTCTTGAGCTCAGACACTGTGGAAACCCTTTGCGTAGATAAGGGCAAGTTGATATTCAAATCTGGTATAACTGCCCTCGACCTCAGGAATTGGTTCGGTGGCCCGCTCAGGGAAATAATGATTCCTCTGACTAGGAGCCATAAAACAATAGATCACAGTAGCAAAGTAAAACAAAAGCCACCGCTAGGAAAGCTTAATAAAATCTCTTACCTGCTAA